CGAATTTTTTAGGGGCATGTATTTTTTTTAGTTGTGTAGTTGTCAAAGATCAACCGCCGTGAACTCTTTTAAGCGTTTGAGGCCTGCCGGCTGTCGAGAGATCGAGGGAAACCTGCACTACGGGCAGCAGTTGTGGTCAGTCGCACTGTACACGCGTGTTTTGTTTAGCGCACACTGCCGGTGCGTGCGTGCGTGTTGGTGTTGGATGTGAGTGCAGGGCCCCGGTGATTTTTGTTCCAAACTGCAGCTCACGCTGTCCGTCCATCCATTCTTTCGTTCGTCTGCCTGCTGACGATGATCCGAGGCTCACGGTGCTTGCCAATTGTAAAAAAAAAAAATTGTTTTTACTTTCGCCGACCATACTTGAGAACTGTTGTGCAACTTTCAGAAATGTGCTAAACGGCCTCGAACGCTTGGAGAATCCTAAGAGTCCGGCGTGCAATAGCGGGTTTGCTTCACGATGTGTGCGAAGTTTTAACACGTATGCTTTTGCGACAGATATTATTCATAATAAAGGTTTTGGGGTTAGATGGCGTATAATGTGTCATAACCCTCCACGACGCGACACAGCCAGTAAGGTTTGTCACGTAAACAACGTGCCAATTAGTTACTGCTTCAGCCCACCGGTGTGTGTTATGAGCTCGTGAGAATATCCATTGGTTGGGCACTCTGCTGCACTTTCCATCGCAAACAATGGTCAGTAATGCCGTGCCTCGATAAGGCTAGTTGACGTGAGATCAGCAGGCTCGTAGCCTCCATCATCAACACCCTCCCCCCGAGTGTCTCCCTCTGTCTGCGACCGTGCCCAACTCTCGTCCCCTAACCGAGCCCCCCCCATTCCGTCTAAACTCCTCCGTGGGTGGCCTCTCTGCTTCTGCTCTCCTGTCCTCAGGGTCCGGATTGCCCCTCTGCCCATCCGAACTGCTGACTCCATCCGTCCATAAGAAAGGTTGTTGGTTTAGATCGCGTAAGTGTAAATGTTGTGTCGTAACCCTCCACCACCCGACACAGCCACGTAAACAACGCGCCAATTGGTTACTACTTCAGCCCACCGGTGTGTTGGAGAGTAAATCCACAAAATGTACAATTTGAGTAGTAGGACGTTTCGCTGGTAATTACATGCAACATCATTGCGCGATTTTCCAGAAAAGTGAAGCAATCCACCTGCTTCCGATCTGAATAGAATCTATCCCTGTGTTTTTGAGTCCAAGCTTAAGAACCTTCCTCTTCTTCTCAGCCTCATATGACTGTGTCAATTCCATCTCATATTAAAGTAGCATGTCTTAAGCGTCGCTTAAATCATGTTCTCCTCTCGCTAACTCTCCAATTTCACACGAACAACAAACATCACTCATCGTTCTCCACGGGATGCCAACGTGCATTGTCGTCGTGCGGTTTTGTGCGGCTGTCTTGAAATGCGGTCTGTCGCATTTTGACGCTTCAAACAGAACAAAATCTGGCTCGCACAAAATATGTGGAGTCCAAGGAGAATTCTGAAAATCGTCGGGTGTTGAAAGAACAGTAAATTGAGCAGTATTTAAAAAAAAAGAACAGCACAGTCGCCCACTCGTAAAGGCTATGACGATGAGGATTGCTATGCGTGCGGGACAATAGGGCTTGTCAAACTTGAACGCTGCTGGAGCGATTGAGGGCAAGGGATGGAATGTGAGAGACTAAGATGTTGGTGTCTGGACGAGGCACCGAGGCAGCGCTTGTGGTTCACAAGGACAGACGAAGGAGTGGCGTCGTACAAGGGACACGGGGCAGGAAGGGGTCCAAGACTGTCGATCCTCCACACGTTGGGGATGAACGCGTGGTGACGATTGTATTGTGTTAGGGCTGCCAGAGTTCACCACTGGCTAACACACACGTTAGATAACCCTTACAACTGGCTTTAAGCAGTACGTTTCTTCTTGAATGCAGCATAACAATTCTAAACATGATTATTTGTGTGAACCCTCAGAAGTTCTGCATTTCAGCTGCTCATTTTGAACAACGCACTTTAAGTATTCTTGGGTCTTTCGTTAAAGTCACATAGATAGGTTCAAAGAAAATAAAAAAATAATAGAAAACTACGACGTTTCGATGGCAACGCAAGCGGTCGTCTTCAGGAATAAAGGCTAACACACATTAGATAACCACACATTAGATAACCTCTTTTTTCTTCCTGAAGACGACCACTTGCTTTGCGATCGAAACGTCGTAGCTTTCTGTTATATTTTTTTTATTATTTTCTTTGAACCTATCTACGTGACTTTACCGAAAGACCCAAAGAATATGAATTCCTGCAGTCACGAAAGCTTTAAGTCAAGATCTACATGCACACTTTCGTAATTGTACAATACAGTTTTGATTTATGCAGCATCTAAACACAACTGCATGTGAAGACACTGCACAAAGGAACAGTGCGACATGCGGGTCACGTGGTGAATGGGAATATTTAAAAGAAAGCCATTGTTTACAGATTATATAAATAGGTCATGGAATTGACATGTGGGGTGTGGGTCTTTTGTGGACAAGCTGCCGTCTTTCTTCAAACACACACGAGCGCAGGCATGGGTTTTGACTTTAGCAGACAACCAAGGCATCTTGTGCTGTGCACCATCTGCTCAAGTGTGCCTTGGCTTATCTCGATGGTGAGCGGGAGTGCAGCGGTTAGCGCGCTGCGCTACGAACCCGACGACACGGGTTCGATTCCCGCTCACCGTCAACACCACTGACGATTATCTGAACTGGTCCTGGGCCTCCCCTAGGTCGACTCAGCCTCAAATGAGGACTTCAGCAGATCACTGTTTGTCGAGTACTCTGCAACGTTTAACAATCAGCTTCGACGTTCCATTGATATTTAAAACCAGCATCATTGGGCAATTTGCAGAAATTTACTTCTGAAGTGAAATTGTCCTCCTTGTATAGGTGACATGATCTTATCGGCACACCCACATAGATGAGCAGCAAATAGGAAGTAATATAATTGAAACAGGTGGACTTCTACACAAATCTGTCTGTCGCCTGATGAAACTGATTGTAATTACTGGTGAAACGTCATACTCAGATTGTAAATATTGTAGCTTGGCTCTCCAACACACCGGTGTGCTGTACTAGTGACGAATTGGCCACGTTCTGGTTACGTGACAATCCTTACTAGTTGGCTGTGTCGGGTGGTGGCGGGTTTAACGACACAACATTTATATATTTATGCGATCTCACACCAAAAAAACTCTCTACTATGGAGGAAGTAATACCTGGAGGATAATTTATTCACCTAAAGAATCATAATAATTATCGAATAACCCAGTTTATTGACATCTGAGTATATGGGGGGGGGGGGGGGCCTCTGTGTGATCCTATGGCAGTGGCTTATCATGGTTGACACATGCAAGGAGTTAAATTGGTGTCCTCCCCCCAATTCGCCTTTCCAGTCCTTTGCAGCCCAGCGCCTAGGCCCCCCCCCCCGTGCACCGCCTGCGCAATCGATAGCTGCGCCAACTGCTTCGGCTGGCGCTTGCAGACCGCCACCATTGGGCGCGCAGCTGTGTCCGCAGAATTTCGTGGGCGTGCGGTGCATCTGTCTGCCACGTCTGCCCGGGGTTGCGTTTGCGGTCGTCGGTGCCAACGCGGAACGCTGGCAACGTGCGTGCTCAGCGGAGCCTCCACAGACAGGCCCGCGTCTTGGCTGGCTCTATCAGTGTTTACACGACTGTGTCGAGCGAGGGTGGGGGAGAGCGTTTTTACTCTGCGGTAGCGGCGTTCCTTCTTACCTTGAGCCCCAGCTTAAGGGGCACATTCCTTTCCGTCTCGGTTACCTTAATTCCAGCGGTTGAGAAAAACATTCAAATTGTTTGCGATGCGAGATTCCCCGTCGTTTATTATTTTTATTCCACGCACGTGTTAAATATTTCAGCTGTGTGCGCGGAGCGGCTGCGCGGAGGCAGTCTGGGAATTCTTTTGTAATTGTTTTTGTTAGTTTTTCGGACTGGCAGTTTTTTAGCAACCAGTTACCGCAACAAGTCTCATCGCGCCCCACTTGTTGTTGATGTAATTTACAAGGAGCTGGGTTTATTAAAAACCTCACCGTTTATTAGTTTGTTTCGCTTGAGAAGCCTTAAGCCGCGCCTGTCTGGTTTTCATCCTGCGTTTGCTGCTGTCAGCACTGCGCAGCCTTGTAAACACTGTGAGCCCACATAAAACTCAAGTTATTGAAAACATCGTAGTCTCAGCCACAACTGTCGTTCCTTTTTTCCACTGCACAACCGAGCCGCACTGGGGCCAGCCTGGCACGGCTCAGGAGGCGCCAGATTGTGTTTTCCACTGCAGAACCCGAGCGATATCTGAACCGCTCTTGCGTCACTTCATTTTTATTTATTTTTAGTTAATTTATTTGGTATAGCCCTGTGAGCCATTCGGCTCTTGAATCGGGTGTAACCACAACAAACAATAAACAAAAACACGAACAAGAAAACATCATCCGGAGCGAAACATTGTATTACACACACACTACATAACTAGACACACACACTACACTCACTACACACACACCACACACTACATAACTAGACATACACTACACTCACTACACACACACTACACACACACTACGTAACTAGACACTAACGCAAGTTACATTCACGGGTTTGTTATCCAATAATAAGTATTTTACGTGAATTCCTGCCATACAGTTGCAGATGCCTACACACATACCACGTACATGATATAGGTTTAATTGAGAAACTGAAAAATGTTTAAGTCAGTGCGTTTGTCCGTGGGGAGCCATTGATTGCGTGATGCAGATTTTAATTAGGGCAGAGAAATGCGTGGCGTTGCCATGCCATCTTCAATGGGTTGCTTCCCAATTTACATATCCTCATTTATCAACATGGCCATCGCAAGACGCCAAATTATTGGACGGCAGCACTAACACGCCCTGGGCTCTTGAGCCCACATCTCTCCCACGCCGTGTCACGTGACCTTTCCCTTCTCCGTGACCCCCCCCCCCCCCCCAGCTCGGGCGGGCAGAGTGAGGGCCTCCTCGGAAGAGCGTCTCTCCAACTCTCCGTCTCCCAAAAATGAACTCCTCCCTGCACCGGTGAGTCGATGTGTCGATTTGGCCCCGCGCGCTTTACCCATGGTTTTTGGGGTTTGTTTTGCTTGCTCTCACTGTGCTGTTCGATTCCACATTTCGCCACCGCATGTGGGAATTCGAGGTCCCCACGGCTTACCTTCAGGTTTTCTTGGTCATGAAAAGAATAGAAAAGTTTAATGTAGCGTTTTGTTTGTGGGTTTTTGTTGTTGTTTCGTGATGGCCATGCAGCCCGTGGGACTCGTGCCATTTCAGACATGCCGAGTAAAAAGAAACTCGCTGAGATTCTGGATTTGAATCTGGGCTGACGCCAAGAATTGCTTCTCGTGTGTTGGTTCGTTCATGGTCTCAGTTTAAGACGGGATAAGAAACCTGCACATGCCAATAAATATATCGGAGTTACAAGACGCAAATGCGGCTATAAATGCTTTGCTGCCCAATTAAAAGTTTCACCAGGGGATGACTCGGTTATTAACAGGTCAGAATGCTGAGCCAGCACCGCTGAGGTCCCTGAGTTCGAATCCACGTTCCAAGCCGCCCATTATTAAACTGGTTTCTCAAGTGTAGCAAGTGGATGTTGTCAGCCAATGGCTTCACATTAAGGGCGGCATGACGTACACACGGGGTTCGTGTCCCAGTGTGCACACAAAAAAGGCATCGCCGTGTTAACAAACAAAAAAACTGTCAGCGATGAGTTAATGGCAAATTATACTCGCCTGTTGGACAGATGGATGATTCAGAAATGATTCATAATAATTTCCGTCACAAGGTGATCGCGTTGTCATTCAGTGTCAAAGTTTTGAAACATCCTTCGAAGTGCAAAGCGCTTCCTTATTTCCACCCTCCCCCCCCCGTAAATGTTGCACGTATATTGACAACCAAACAAAGGTGAGACAACACACTATTACATTCATAGATCATGATGATATCGTTCGTTTAGCCAAATCGTTGGGGGTTTTTTTAAAGACATTATTGTCTAGTGTTTTGGAGAAATAAAATAGGCCGACCTGTTTTTGTTTTTTCTACATTTTGAGGGTGCCCACAAGTTTTGCAGAAGATGACATCATTTCCTTTGCGCCAAGTCAGTTGATTGACAACAATTCTCACTTCATTTTCGGTCTCCCCTTACTTTCCTCCCAGAGTTCATGCAGACAGTCGCAGTTACTTGTGAGCTTTGTGAATTGCGTTTTTCTTGGGGAAGGTTTTCCGGATTATTGTAAACTAAAAACCTCCTCTTAGCCGACAACACATTTCCCAGTCACAACTCGCTTTTGGATTTCCTGGAAACCGTAGAGTTATTGAGCACAGACGTTTAAAATGAAGAAAATTATCATAAATGAAAGCAAACTTCAATTCAAAACAACACCTCCGCGCGGCAACAGTCGGCAAAAAAGATGGAAGGTAAAATATATATTTTGATCCAAGTATTTTTCAAAGTATGCTCGAATAACTGTTACGTCTAATTCACCCCGAATGTTCCCGATATTATAAACTAAGCAGCGCTGAGTCTGTCTTAATGCTTGGATGGGAGACTGCCTGTTAATATACGTTTGTTTTTTAGCAGGTAAGGCCTCCGCTGAGCTATATAGCTTTACGTAGCGCTTTTTGAGAAGCGACCTGGCCGCAATTGATAGCTCAACAAAGTGGCTTATCACGTGGAAGTTTAGAGCAGCCAAATACTCCAAAGGCATGTTTCTAAATGTTGGGGGGGAAACCGGGGGACCCAAAGAAAAATCCACGAGATCACGGTGAGAGAAACACGCAAACTCCAATTATACAGCAAGCGTCAGGGTCAGGATCAAACCCACGCCCTCCTGCTCACCAGGCGAGGTAGCTAACATCTATCCACGGCGGCGCTCCACGGGGGTGAGATGTTAACCGGCACCCCATCAGGTGTTGTAGGCTGGGACTGAAATGTGGCCGTGAAATCGCGGTTTTGTAATTAATTCTTGAATCGCTCTGTTGAATCTATCCGTACGGAGCTTTTAGAGCTTGCTCCTTCCATGCATTGTTTTTTTTTCCCTCTGGCTACTCCAGTTTCCTCCTACAGGATAAACGCTCGTAAATTTATTCAGTCAAACATCCCAACCGAGGAACCCTAACTGAAAAGAGTATATTGAGGTTCATTCGGACTGTCTTAGGTAAACGATGAACAGAGGGCATATTATGACATTTTCAATCGTAGTATATTCCCCATGATAGAGTTTTTTGGTTTAGATCGCGTACATTTAAATGTGTCGTTAAATAACGAAACAGGAGGATTTTTAAGAACGAAACAGGAGCCTTTCTTCACAAATCAGGCTGTCCACCTGATGATGCTAGTTGTAATTACTGGCGAAACGTTGTACTCAAATTGTAAATGTTGTGGATTTAATCTCCAACACACCGGTGTGCTGTACTAGTAACGAATTGGCACGTTCTGTTTACGTGACAAACCTTAACTAATCGGCTGTGTGGGGTAGTGGTGGCTTTAACGACACATTTATATTTATGCGATCTAACCCAAAAACCTCTATTATGGATAATATCGGTTGCGAAAGCTTCCTACATGTTAAACAGTATAGTCCACGATGTATATTGTCCTCCGTTTGCTTGTGCCGTGAACCCTGGCAAACATGAGTTTAATTCACCGGACCGTATCTAACATCAAGCGATGGGGTGATATTTAAATCAAGACACCTCTCTTGACCGACACAGCATAGGGGAGGCCTTCATCCAGCAGCGGATTGGCACAGTACTCGGCTACAGAATACACGAGGACCACCGTCGATGTCCGTAGCACTCAGGGTGCTGATGCTCCCCAGTTTGTGTTTGCCAGTTTCTGGACCAGGTTGACCCCTTGTTTTGGTCTTGGCAGCTTCCTTTTTATCAGGTGGTCGTCGAATGTTAGCGTACGGTCCAGCTCACTCCGAGATTGGTTGGCGTGGGGCAGTGTCGCACGGTGTTGCCGCAGAAGCTCACTTTTAGAGAGTGCTTGGCGCTCCTGTCGTCAAGATGAAACGCAGTGGCTGTTGTTTCGTGGGTATTTGGCTTGAGCCTCCTTTTCCGGCGTTTCGGTCTTGGTTCAGCGTGGATTCGATGCCGCTGAGGCAATTAAAGGCAGAGGTAGAGAGAGCAGAGGGGAGTTCTGAGTGTGGAGTTGCTGGCGTGTGTGTTGCCTGCTGTATGACCGTGTGCGTTGCCTGTGGGTCATCAATAAAGAGACCTTTGATGAACACCGCATGAGCCGAATCCCTTCAACAAGATGAAATTGCTTCCACCTCAGGGTGACTAGATTATCCGCCAACAGTTACAGATGATTGGAAAAAAAATCCACGTGCATATAATAGGATTCTTCATTGTGAAAGATTGGGGCTGTGTCACCATATTTTGTGCCCACCAAGAGCCCAGTGTGTAACGCAACTGTCACTCAGAGAGCTGTGATTTGATACGAATTCAGTTTAAAAAATGTGTTGCCGAATGCGTCGGTCAATGCGCAACTCGTGTAACCTCTGGCCCAGGAAAAGGCAATGATGCGACCCGGGAACAGGCGGAGGAAGGAGCGGCAGGGCGACAGCTTGTTCAGCGACGACGAGGTTCAGGATGCCGACGACGAGAGCAAGTAAGGAGGGCGAACGCAACCTCCATCGATTTCCCTCTGCCACACTCCTCAAGCTGGCCTCCTTCCGGCTCCTCAAGATACCAATCCCGAGCCGCGCAGCTGTCAAAACTCCCCGCGCATGAGGGTTCCTCTTTTGTGTTTTCCTGGCAGGCAACATAATGCAACTAAGCATGTGCTTGCCGGTTACGTCATGGGCAGATTTGTGATGACGCATTGCTCTCTACTGTAATGTAATAACGTGTGTCTGTACACGTGATCGATGAACTCGATTTTGGAGGGATGAATCATTGCAGACGAAGTGAGCATAAATGTAATTAACGATGATGATGATCATGCTGACATGGATGATGGGGGGTCGACATAATCGTGATCCTGCTTCGTGATATTTATCAACTCGCTTTGTAGGGGGTGTGGGTGATCATCACATGCCAAGGACCTTCATGACAATGATGAACAATGAAAAGATTTCAGGCCGACGTTGATGATGATTGTATTTGACGAGAGTGACCGTGATGAGTATGGTGGTGCCACTGACATTGGCGGCAATGAAGATGATCGCAATAACCATGGTCACAGTGATTCAATTATCGTGATGGGATTGATGATGACGATGAGAATGATAATGGCCACGGTGAACTGTAACTCCTCTGTGGAACAGGACGTGGCTGGGCCTGCCTGACCGCTCCCCGTCGCACCTGTCCGTGCGTAGCGACACTCAGTCGCTCCTCTCTCTGTCCGACGACCACCTCCCCGGCTCACCGCGACACCGGGGCGGCACCTCCGACGGGGAGACGGGCGTTCAGGTGAGCACGCAAACGGGGAGCGCGACGTCAATGCGAGTCTGTGGCCCGTACCATAGCGTGGTTGCCATGGGCCTAGTAGCTCGGAATCGGGCCACCAGTCCAATCGCCTGAACACCCCCCCCCCCCCGCCCGGCACATGGGGCCAGATGCAGTTGCACCTCCTGCACACTCTGTAGTTTTGAAGATGTGGGTGTGGGTAATCATTATTCAATTCACTCAGTGTGTTTTATACGTGTGGATAGCATATCAACAAGTTAGGACGACGTCGCACAGAAATAATTTGCCCACCTTTCTTGATGAGGGAGCAATGCTCCGAAAATACTGCGGTGGTGTCGCACGTCATCAGACGAACCCGACTCCATCCACACTGGGATGATGGTGTTGGCTGCACCCCCTTTGCACGCTTGTCAAGCCATCGACGTGTTTCGTCAATAGGCCGTGTTTTCTAGCACTGTAGGTCATGAGATGCACGTGACATTTCGACCGTGAAGCTGCCTAAATTTTTTGTCGCGTTGCCTATGAAGCGGGCTGCGGGGCTTTGTATCGTTTCTGAACGTTCTTGCACGGCAGGATGGCATGGCGCATGAAACCACCCGCTCCATCTCCGCATCTAAACCTGCCCGCATTAATTTGTGTAATTCCGTTCAATCGCCCATTTGCGACCAGGAGGACCTTTTTACGTGGGTTGCGTCTTAACCGGGTTTTTTTGGCTGGCACTGGTTAATCACACGGTGATGGTGCCCCGACGATGCGCACGCTCACGGTGCCCCCTCCAGATTGCACCTATGCAGGGGCAGTACACCGAGTCCGCTGCCGCCCTTACGTGTGCCATCGGTGTCCGTCTCTCTTGTGCGTGGGTTGCGTCTGGAAGTTAACAAAAATTTCCTCCCACGCGTAAATAGCTTTGAAGCAAATTGGCCATACATGCCGACCAGGACTGCTCACCCGCGGAATCAGGACTTGGTGACTCAGCGAGAGTTTCCTGTGTAACTACGGTCGCGTGAAAGGGTACACGGCGCACTGGCGCAAGAGCCTCGTTTATGCGGTCTGTTGAGCACGAAATGTAGCTTTTACGTGGGCCCAAACGCCCAAGAAATCTGTCGCCCCCGGGGGGCAGAGAGAGACGCGCGCTAAGTGAGTGAGTGCTTCACGGCCGAGTGAGCAAGCACTTGGCCTGTGCCCGGGCCTACCAGGGAGTGAGGGGGAGGAGGCAGTGTTCCGAATTTCCTTTTGAAGTATTAAACATTTCGTTGCGGTGATTTTCGCCAAGTTGTTATTTCGTATTATACTTGTATTCTTCCAGTGGTGCCTTCGGTGTTGTGTCATGAGATTAAGTGTCCATTGCGAGCTCTCGTAGAGCTTCGGTGCACTGCCCTGTGTTAGAGAACGGCCCGTGGAAGCAGATATCACGTAACTACTTTTTAGTTTGTTTTCCTTCACCCGCACCTCCAATTAGCACGGTTGGCCATATGATCCTGATTGGCGGTACCACGGGGTACCAAATAATAAAAAATGGCCGAGGCAATTCAATAGTTTATTTCTGGGACACTATTTTTTTCCAGGGGTGTACTTATAACTCCGCGACTGGGGTACCAATCAATCCGAAATCGGTGCCACACTCCGCGATGTCGAAACACAGCGAGGACGATTGCGCCGAAACCCTGAACGCTCGTACGCACCGTGGTGTTGGTGCATCGTGTACAGCTCAAATCAAGATCGTCGAGATGAGTCGCTGGCCGCATCGTCGATCATCAACAGACTAAAAACGACTGCAGCACGGACATTATGCGAGAGTGGGGGTACAATGGTACCCCGGGGTACCGCCATAAGGTTCATATATGTCAACGCACATACGTACGTCAGCACTTCATCTCCTCACTTCCTTTTTCTCTCTCTCGATGCAGTCGCGTAACGTTCCAGATGCGATTCGCGGATGGCCAAAAAATCGCAGATAGCAAGCTCGCGAACAAGAAGGGAACACCCTACATGGAGCCAATGTCAGCCTGCGCGCATGCTCGTCAATGGGGACCGGTTAATTCCTCTCCCTCATTCTTTGCGTATTCCGCTCGGACGTAGGTGTCCAGGGAAATCTGCAAGTCTTTCCTGCACATTAAAAAGTCCTGACCTTGGTCAGTTGCGTAATAATAACGCCGCGCTCAAGACAACGCCTTCACGTTCAGTTCTCCCCTCTTCTGGCATCCCCAGATGCTCTCCCGCCCGTGATGTGTCCCGTTATATTTGTGGGTTTTTTTGTTTCGCTGCTCGCAGGGAAACGGCACGGCCGGGTCGTCCCCGTGCTTCCGCGTGCCAAATAGCGGCAGCGCCGGCTGGTTCCATTTCTCGGCGCCGGACCTTGCCGGCCCCGTGCCGCTCTCCAAGGCCGGCTGGCTCGACAAGCAGCCGCCCGGATCGTGAGTGCCGCTCAACAACGTGTTTGTGTTGTGGTTTGTTGTCGTTGTTGTCGTTGTTGTTGCAGAGGAGCGAGCGGTGGTGTAGCAGCGGTGAGCGCACAGCGCTAAGAACCCGGCAGCCCGAGTTCGATTCCCGCTCACGGCCAACGCCGGTGACGATTATCTGAACCGGTCCTGGGTCTTCCCTAGGTCGACTCAGCCTCAAATGAGTAGCTGGTGCGGTGTGTAAACATCGCCACTGGGGAGACAAAGGCGGCTGGGCGTGGTGCTGGCCACCGACCCCCTCGTGTGCCGTGCCAGCCTTCATAGGCGCTCGCTAACAGCACTTGCCCCAACAGTCTGTGAAGGCTATTTGGGGGATCTTTATCTTTGTTTTGATATATATATACCGTGGCCTGGTTACCTCATTGTGCAATGATTACCGTAAATGTGCGCAACGCTTTTTCTCGCAGCATGTTACTGTGAATGTTTTGAAATTGATATCAACATTGAACAAGACCCGCCATCTTGTTGAATAGTGGTAAATATTCATGAGGTAAATTGTTTTCACATCTCCCGCAATGAGATTGGTGCGCTCTGATTTCGCTTTGAATTTTTTCTCGCGGTCTGCTATTTGGTTTTACTCCAGGTCGTCGTTTTGGTAACCGAGGTCACCTCTCAAGGTCACCTCTCAAGGTCACCTCTTGAGGTCACCTCTTGAGGTCACCTATTGAGGCCACCTCTCGCAGATTGAGACTTTCCCGACCTCTTAGGAGTTCTAATCTGGTGAAACAAAATAAACTAAAGCTGTTGGCGTCAGCCGGCGACTTCACACTGCTCAACAATTCCTCCCTCACTGTAATTTCACAGTGGATACCGGTTCCAGCGGCGCTGGGTAAAGTTCGAGGGCGATTACCTGACGTACTACAACAATGAGAAGGTGAGACGCTGCAACATCGCCGCTGCATTCAAAAGATTTATAGACGGTGCAATGGAAGTGGCCGATGTTTAAATGCTTAAATTTTTTGACTGACTAGCTTAAAACCAAGAGCACGCAGATACGGACAAGAGCAAATTGCTTGCTTCCATCCACCCGTTTAATCCAGAGGTGACTCGGGAGTTCACAAATGTTATTCCGTGCAGGAAGGTGCAAGTTCATCAACTCGCTTTACTTCCTCATCCCTTGTGCATATTCCTTAGTGTGTGCGGAACTGAGAGGTGGCTGGTTGGCTCAGGAGACGGGAGACACTGAGCTGATACCACCGATGCGTTGGGTTCGATTCTGGGTGCCTTTTGCCCCGCGATTAAACCCGAGTTCTCGGGTGTAGAGGGTTGATGGTCTCAGCTCGCTTACAAATGATTGCATATAAAGCTGTTTTATATATATCGATATATTTGTATTTCCACAGTCAATAGATTTATTTATATTGTTTGTGCGGTCACATAGCCTCGCTGTCACGCGTTTGCCACTTGTCGCGGAAGTTTACGGTTAGAAATCTCGCCGCCAACCTGGTAACAGTCGTAATACACTGCACGCCGTCTGATTCACGGCAGACGCTAACATTCGCCTGAACTCATTGGCAAGAGCAGACCGTTGTGTGGTGGCGTCATGGTCTCAATTTGCCAAATTTGTAAATTATATGCATGTTACTTAATTAGGATTATTCATAATAATCATTGCCCCCCCCGCCTCCCCTCACTGTAGACTCTTTCCCCAGCTCACTCTTGCAATCCTGGTTTCCTCATCATCACTTCTGCGGCCACTAGAGGCGCTTACCGTTCACGGCGATGTTTTAAAAACAAAAATCATTGTCGAATCGAATGACAACGCCGAATGGCGGCAATTTACCGCACCGCCAGTAGGAGAGGAATCTTTCCACTCCTGAATTGTTGCAATGCACCTCCGATGAGCACGGTTGGCTACGTACGGTGCGAAATTAATTCAAAATACAACATACAAACTGTGCGCTCGCGCGGATCGTGCTTGGCTGCGTGTCCCAGGAAGTTTACTCCAAGGGCGTGATCCACATTTCCGCCATCCTCCGGGTGGACTCCACGTCGTCCGACGCCAAGTTCGAAGTGCGCACGCCTCACCGGACGTTCACCTTCCGGGCCGATACGGAAGGCAAGTGCCCGATCGGAGGCCGGGGTCGGCCGTTTAGTGCCCTCGGGGTCGTTGGCGGCAACGTTGGCACGGCGCCGCGGCTGACCTGACATTGCCCCTCGCACTTTGGAGCCTGTGTGCACGATGTGAAACTGGGCAGGCAGGCAGGCAGACAGGCAGGCAAGCGGTGCACAGCGTAACTAAAGAGCATGATGTACAGCACATCGGGTAACACAGCTACGCCGCACCTATTAAACTAAACGATTTAACTATTGTTATTTTAGCAGGTAAGGTCCCACTGAGCTGCATTGCTCTTTTTCAGAAGGGGACCTGGCCACAAATGATAGCTCACCGAAGTGGCTTATTACTTGGAATTTTTTAGCAGCCAAATACTCAAAACGCGTGTTCTTCAGCCAGCAGAGCCACGGCATCTCACGTTAAACTGTCGTCAATCGTCGATTGTTTTTTTTCTAGCTATGTTTGTAAATTTTTTGGGCTTTTTACCATTCCAGGGGTTTTGATATAAAAACATGAATCTATTGGCGTATTTTGTCCACGTGAAAACTTTGTCCACGAGACAACTTTGACCACGTGACAAAACTTTTATTTGATTGCCTCTGTCGGGTGGTGGAGGGTGTCGCTTAACATTTGCATTGTACCTGGACGATGATGTAATCCAGAGGTAACTCTGAATCATAACATTGGTTGTGAAAGACTACGTATGAAATTAATCCCGAGCAGAATATAATTGTGATGCCCTGTCTTTATCCGGGGGGGTTCTATCTTATGATGTTTGGTAATGTGTAAGGAAATCAGGGTGCAAGGAGAAAACCCATACAGTCGAGTGGAATTTTTTTTTCAAAGTTCCGTACAAATAGATTAAAGAATCTGATGCTGTGCTACCATCTCTTATCTAAAAAATGGTTGCAGGTTTCCATGAGGTAATTGCGTTCAACGAATATGAACTGAAAAGAAGCTCAATATTAGACGTGTTATTTGATTTGGCCTGTGATGAAGCGGTCACAAATGGTGACCTTTGTCAATACAAATATTGGGGTTTAATATATTGGTCCTGCTCGTGCGTTTGTGCGCGTGCGTGCGTGCGTGCGTGTGGCCTGTCTGCTCTGTGTGTGTGTGCGTGCGTGTGTGCGTGTGGCCTGTCTGCTCTGTGTGTGTGTGTGTGCGTGCGTGCGTGTGGCCTGTCTGCTCTGTGTGTGTGCGTGCGTGCGTGTGGCCTGTCTGCTCTGTGTGTGTGTGTGCGTGTGGCCTGTCTGCTCTGTGTGTGTGTGCGTGCGTGCGTTGGTGCGTGCTCGCGTGCGCGCGCGTCACAGCTGAGAAGTGCGAGTGGGTGTCAGTGCTGCAGAGAGCAGCCCGGGAGCGCCGAGAGCTCGGGGCGGCGTCGCCCGCACCGCCCTCCGTCTCCACCGCGTCCCCCGCGGCAACGTCGCCCTACCGGCCGCCACCGTGCGAGCGCTCCGGCTTCCTGGAGCTCAAGGGCTGCCGCCAGGCTCTCTTCGTGGCCGTGGCCGGAGAGAGGACGTGGCTCTACAAGAACCGGCAGGCAAGTCCCCCGTACCCCCCCCCCCCCCTAGAGGATCGGCGCAGCTGTCCCCACCGGTGGCGCTGGGGAGGGTGGGTGGGGAAGTCGCGCAAAAAAATAAACTCGGGAACGACAAAACAATGACACGCTGCGACGAAAACAAAGATGCGGTCACTTGGGCGACAGCGGAAGGGGGCCGTGTTTGTCGTGGAAATATTTTTTATGGAAAGAATAATTTGAGCGTGACTTTTCTTGTTTTAGCTTCGATATGAAGGGGGGGGGGGGCGCTAGCCAGATCCTGTTATCCGCAACAAATAACTCCTGATGTCTGCACAGTGATCAGCAAATCGACACGGACGATGGAGTGAATTTGCTGTCTCTTCAACAGTACCCGTATTTGCGCGCAAAAAAAAATGCAGACAATAGGATGGATTTAGAACTTTTGGGATACCACTGCAAGGTGACTTTCATCCGTGGATAACCAAGGACGTCATGTATTATGGAGACCACTTGAAGGGATGGCCAGAAGTAGTTCTGTGACATCGCCGTCCACGGGCCCCTTCCTCTGATACACGGGGTGATGCGCCGCCAATTTGTGAGAGGTCCCAGTGATATCACGACAGGACACGGAAAGCTCAATTTGAACAAGACTGGCCTATGACCAAATCACCTGTAATGTTTCCCGCTGTCGTCAGATCTTGATAGCTACGCAGGATTAGGGTTAGGGGAGTGCTTGGATGAGGACTGGCCGCTTTGCATAAAACAGAGTGCTATAGGCTGCTGCGGGGCTACATGATAGCCAGCAGAGGGCACTGCACCAGATTCCATTGTTGCACTGTTAGATGTTTTCACGTTTAAGCCACCCACCTTCAACAAATATGCTCAAAATGTTACTTGTTATTTTAACCCCAAGGTACAAATTCTGTTACAAAAATATGCTTTCCGCCCACCTACCCTGGGGTTAAAATGAGGGTTATGGTTCTCTACCTCCGTGGTCAGACTTAAGCCGTGCGGTTAAAGTACCACAGGTTTCAAATAATACATCGTATTCTAAGCCCCTGTATTCAGAATTCTACGGCCGTCAAAATCCTGTCTTACACCGGCATGGCGTGGGAAGGCCCTCGTCTGGGCCAATCCTCCTTGCCGCGCACGGCTAAAAGATCGTGGGCACACGCTGCCTGCTTTTCCCTCGCAACAGGACTTCCACACGGGGGTGGGCATCACGGCGATCGACATGAACGTGGCGACGGTCAAAGACGTCGACCGGCGCTCCTTCGAGCTCACCACGCCCTACAAGACCTTCATGTGAGTCTCGCTCACGGCCGAGCGATTAGCGCGGTTCGCCGCTTGTTTGCGGTTGGATTGTGTACGGCGCAAAAGAAGTTCGGCGTACATACGTATGTTTGTGTTTCGGGCCCAGCAGCCGACACTGAGAGCACAACACGCTTTTGCTATTCTGGACATGACCCCGATGGATCTTTTTTTGAACAACGATCTGCCTCTGCGTAAATGCTTAGCACCGACCGCCCCCCCCCCCCCCCCCCCCCCCCTCCACCGACTAACAAAAACGTAACGCGATGGTACGGACGCAGCTTCACGGTGGATATGGAGGCGGACAAGGAGGAGTGGATGGAGGCGCTGCGCGAGAGCACCGCTGAGGCGCTGTCGACCCACGACATCGCCGACCGCATCTGGGCCCTCCCGGCAAACCGCCTCTGCGCCGACTGCGGCGCCGCCAAGCCCGCGTGGGCCTCCATCAACCTGTGCGTCGTCATCTGCAAGCTGTGCGCGGGTGAGCACGCGTGGGCAGGGGAGAGGCATTGCGATCGTGCGAGGAATCATGCAGCTGTGAGGGGCGGGGGGCAGCGGGGGGCAGCGGTAGCGGGTGATGTTTGGTTTTGTGACGTATCATGGGTTGAGTGATTCAGCCCCTCTGGCAGTTCGATGGATCATTGTGATTAAATGGAGTTTCTGACCCGCCCCTTACTTGACATCCGTGAAAAATAGCTTCATAGCTCATCAGATTCCTGCAGTATAAATAAAGATTCCGATTCTGATGCAATCTAAAGGTCCAGGTGACTGCCTAATGATGGTGGAAGAGCCACCATCATTGTAACATTAAAGCTAGAACAACCTGATTAAACTGGAGTATTATTGTCACGTGATCGGAGGGGCGGTGGGGGAGGTCACAGTACTGGTTGGGACATCACTCACCACTGATGCTTTGCTTGGTCAGGAATCAAATGGAATCGAACCCGGGTCGCAGGATTTGTAGCGCAGTGTGTGAACTAATCTACCACTGCTCCTCTTTAGAGCAAGGCTAAATACATTCTTTAGGATGCGCAAAGAAGAAGGGCCATTGCCTGAAACGTTGCCTGTTATATATTCATTAATTATTATGGATATATTGATCTTTAATGTTAAATAAGCATTGTGTGTATTCATTACAACCCCCCGCCCGCTGTTCAAGGTGAGCAACAGTATTGGAAGTGGAGTTGCCTGACAGTGTGCCTGCCCCTCTCTCCTCCCGCAGGCCAGCACCGAGCCTTGGGGCCTAACATCTCCAAGGTGCGGAGCCTCAAAATGGACAAGAAGATCTGGACAGACGATTTAATCGAGGCAAGCGTGGTTGTTTTCTAACTTGATTTTGTAATACTCTTCACCGTATTGTTCTGTATCTCATACATGGAAGCTATCGTGACTGACTTGATTGATTATGTAAATTGTATGTATATTTTAGAAGGGTTATTATTTACCGCACACACAAAAAAACATATAAAATATAACAAATTTGGTTAGATATTGAATTTACCTTTATCCTGCTCCAATAATTTTCTAGACTTTGTCAAATAAAAAAAACTGTTACAGACAGACGAACAGACAGAGCAAATCCATCCTCGAGTCTGAGCCAGTTTTGTAACAGACTGTATATTTAATAATAGGGTTTTTCCCCTTTTTTCTGGCAACAAAACTGAAACCTTTTTTACAAGGATTCATGTCTGCATTAACCACAATACCTGCAGTCAAAATGCAAACAAAAAACATACTATGATAATATATGCATTGTCCTTGAAACTGATTGGTCCACACCAAGGGGAAAAAAGGGGAAAAACCCTATTATTACATTTTGGTACTGGCAAAGGAGGTCTAATGATGAGACTGTAAATTGTTATTCCAAAGAGCTTAGTGTGCGTGCTCTGCTCGCGTGCGTGATGGACCGGACTCAGGCTTACTTACTCCTCAACACTGTGTCGACTTCGTTTGAAAAGCGCGTGAAAAAAATTGCTCCCTGCCGCTGCGCTATGCGCCGCCACAGCTCTTTGTCCAAATCGGCAACGAGCGGGTGAACGAGTTCTGGGCCGCGAACGTCCCTCCCAGCGAGGAGATCGACCCCGCCTCGATGCCCAATGAGCGCCGGGAATTCGTCGTCGCCAAGTACCGCAGCGGGAAGTACCGGCGCTACCACGAGTTCTTCGGGGACCAGGCCGAGCTCAACCGGGTGAGCGGAGCTCGCTCCACAGAGCCAAGTGGAACGTTGCCGAGATTGTGTGACGATCACCTGCTCCGCCGTCATCGTCATCGTGCGACTATTGATATATTTAACGGTGTCATTGACCTTAGACTTCCAAGAGCAGAGGGTAGTAGATTGATGAGCAGAATGACATTTTAATAAATCAATGATGATTATATGATGATAAAGAGGTGCGCAGCAGAGGGCAGTGATGATGATCATCATTAAAATCATCATCATCACTGCCCTCTGCTGCTCACCATAGGGCAGTGATGATGATGCTGCCCACCAGTGATAATGATCATCATCATCATGATCATCATCATCATCATCACTGCCCTCTGCTGCTCACCATAGGGCAGTGATAATGATGCTGCCCACCAATGATAATGTTCATCATCATCATGATCATCATCATCATTATCACTGCCCTCTGCTGCCCACCACGCAGGCGCTGTGCTCGGCGGTGGTGACCTCGGACGTGCTGGAGAGCATGGCGCTGGTCTACTGCGGCGCCGATGTCACCGGCGCTCCGGGGTGCAGCCCGGACGATGACCCGCTCCTCCTAGCCGAGCAGGCCGGCCAGAAGCTCCAGCTGCAGATGCTGCTGCACAACCGTAATCTGGGTGCGCATGCACACAGACAAAGACAAATATCCCCTGTATAGCCTAAACGGACTTTTGGGGCAAGTGCTGTTAGCAAGCACCTATGAAGGCTGGCACGCCACACTAGGAGGTGGGTGGCCAACACCACGCCCGGCCGGGAAACCTGTAAATCGATATATATACTGCTGATGGTTTAATCACGGGTGTTATAATCCCGCTTAGCTGGGCACACGCCTCCTCTCAGCTGCTGCCATTGTTCACTTAGTGTTTGCGCGCTGCCCCTGCCGCCCTGCAGACACGAACAAGCCGGAGCCCAGCGTTGGCAACCGCTCCATCGCGCACACCTCCGGGACCCCCTTCTGCACGGGATACCTGCACAAGGCGTCGACTTCCAGCAAGGCCGTGACGGAGCCGCGTGCCAGGGACGGTGAGGAAACCGGGCCGGTGGCCGCGAGCTGGTGTTTCGCCGCTTGTTTGGTGACTGTTTTGCGGTTCGAAACCCCCCAGGTGGACCACCCTGCTTAGTACAAGGAGTGCGCCGTCCGCTTCGCAGTGGACGTTGAAGCGCTCTTTGTGACGGTCGCGACGCGTTTCCCGTGCCGTGTTGTCGGCGTGCGCAGACTTCAGCCGCCGGCGCTGCGTTCTCGAGGCCGGGGTCCTGAGCTACTTTGACAGCGACCGCAGCGTGGCGCCCAGCGGCAAGATCGACCTTCAGACCCTGAGCTGCCTCGCGCTCACCTCCCCCGACTCGGACGTGCGGCACGGGTGAGCCGGCGACGACCCGGGCACCTCAGTTCAGGTCGCCCGTTCGCCGATTGCCCTTAAAATGTCCCGATGCAGGAGGCTCCTGAAAAAGAATACCTGAGAGAGCCGGTGATGCCCTGCAGCTAAGGTTGCGTGCTTCGTCAATGTGATCAAACTCTATATAAATTTGAGTGTTCGGTTTTGTTGCTATTACTCGTTTGGAAACTGGCCAAATTAGTCAAAGGGTTACTGAAAACATCTCGATCGAAAACCCGGCACCAACTGGATAAGCTTTCTCGACCGAGGAGCTGACGTCATACGCCATGCGCATGCCTCAACCCCCCCCCCCCCCGTGACGTCATTACACGTGACATCATCTCGACTACATTCTTGGTTCTTTCGGTAAAGTCGCGTAGAAGGGAAACAATAAAATAATAAAAATATAAAACAATAAAATGTATTGTTTTAATAATTAGCACCGGTTAAATCCTTCCGAGGACAAAACGCACGGTTGGAAAGCGTTGCGGAACCTGTGTGCGCGGTGGTGTTCTCTTCCCTTCGCTGCGTCGAGCTCTGCGCGCCCCGCGGCCGGTCTGCCCTCCAGGTTTGCGTACACGATGGAGCTGTACGCGCGGCAGGGCGACTCCGAGAAGGTCTACCTCTTCGGCACGGACAGCGAGGAGATGAGCAAGGAGTGGAGCACGGCCGTCGTGCAGGTTCGTCGCCCCAGGCCGGCCGAGTGAAGTCCCCCCGGGGCCTCCCGTGGCACCGCCAGACAGACCGCCCACCCCCCAGAGATGGCCAGGTGGCCATGGTCAGAGAGGCTAACCTGGCAGCGCTCCGATCCTGGATTTGGACTTTGGTTTCAGTCGCCTGTTATTAAACCATGCTCTCAAGTGCAATGAGTTGACATCTTACTACTCCGTCCCATCCCGTCCTCTACGCCCCCAGTCTCTACCGTCCCTCTTTGTGCCTCCCTCGCCCTGTGGCCAGTCTCGCTCTCTCGTTCCATTTCCCATTTTCGCTCCCCTGCACTGGAACCAACTCCCACTGCAGCACACAGTGCAATCATCTTCACTATCACAACATGCTTTCATTCCTCCCTTAAAACAACCACTATCTCTCCTGCCGTGCCCATCCTGCTACTGATACTCTCTGCCCTCCCAGCTACGACCAGGCCTACCCCAACCCCCCGTCACTACTCCTACGCCAACCCCACCTTAACCACTCCCACCTGTCCTCTTTACTGTCACCATAGCTACACCACCACCACCTTTAATACCCCCTTGTGTTTTATCCCAACCACTGTCATCTTATAAGGCAACCATTGCTGAACTTCCCCACAAGGTGGAACTCTTTGTATCGACCCCTGTAGGGTGGGATGACGGGCTGAGTCAACCTCCAAGCAGGATGTGAACTCGCAAAACCTCACTGTCTACCGCTGAGCTGCCTGGCCAGTCGGCTGGCCGATCCCTCTGTTGTCATGTCGCCCCTGGACATTTATGCACAACCGGAATGGTGGCTAGGAGATGTTTACTACCTCGCCTGGTATGCAGGAGGTCGTGGGTTCGATCCTGACCCTGATGCCTGCTGTAAATTTAGAGTTTGCATGTTCTTCCTATGGTCGTGTGGATTTTTCTCAGGGCACTACGGTTTTACCCTCCACACAGAATCAACGTGCGTTGGGAGTATTTGGTCGCTTTAAATTTCCACACTTCGTTGAGAGCTATCATTTGTGGCCAGGATGCTTCTGAAAAAAATAGCTTACACAGCTCGGTCGGGCCTTACCTGGTAAAATATCAAATAAAAATAATAGTTGGTTAAATATATACGCACGCACACACGCACGCACGTACGATGTGGCGTCGTCAACACGGGAGAGTCGCCGTGCGTGTCGCGAGCAGGCGTTCGTTTCGGCGGCGGAGCTGGGCGCCGGCGGGCTCATGTCGCTGGGCTTGGAGCGCGTGGGCCGCGCCAGCCTGCGGGATGGCTGCGCTCGCGAGGCTCGGCAGGGCTGGCTCGCGCTCGCCGGCCCCTGCCTGCACTTCCGCGCCGAGCCCACGCTCGGCGACGCGAGGGCGACGGCGCTGGCGCCGCTGCGGCCGTCGCCCATCGAGACGCTGCAGTTGAACAAGCTCCAGGAGCTGGGTGAGCGCTCACTGCCCCGGCCCTGCAAAACGGTTCATCACCAACCACCGTCGCCATCGCCGCCATTATCGCCACCATCATCATCAGCGCCATCACCGCCATCATCGCTGTCATCGTCATCATCGCTATCATCGTCGTCATCATCACCACCATCGTCATCTCCATAATCATTGATCGATTGATCACACGGAGCGTGTAAAAACACATCTGACTAGTAAGAATGGTTTCTCGCAATGAAGTTACGTTTGTAATGTCGTCTCCAATTCCATCCCGAGGGCCCCATCCAAGATGCCTCATAATGGATATCATCATCTTGGGGCGTGATCGTGCAAAAGCCATCGTGTGCATTAGAGGCAACGGTCGGTGGGTTACGTAGATTCGTAAGATGGTACTGCCACAAGTGGATCTGGGAACCCATCTATGCAGACATTTGAGTGTTATCTCATACACAATCAAAACACTCATTATGGGAATTGGACCAAATATTCCAAATTAGGACCCTTTCTGGAAAAGGGTGTTGGGGCTCGGTGAAATAAATAATTTAAAAATATTGTATATTGCTCCCTTGACTATATATATTAAAAAACATTTGTGCTTTGTGCGTATGTTTAATAATATACATTTTTAACCCCTTTGTCTTCCCGCCACCACCAGGCTTAGCCAACCCCGCGGAACGCAACGGCCAAAAGGAGGTTTTACTTCTGCGGGAAAAAAGACGGTAGGGCGCTGTGCTGTTCATGCCAGCCTGCTTCACAACCCACAGATAAACAGTAGCTCTGACACATTTGGTATTGACACCGACACGGGGTGTCAACGATGAAGCGTCGCGAAGCAAACACGTCTCCTCGTATCTCACCACCGCCATCGCCGTCGTCATCCTCAGCCGCGGTCGCCCCGTTGCTGGGTCAAGGCCGCTCCACGTGGGGTTTCTCCATGCACCTCCTGTTTCCTCCCACAACCCATGAATTGGAATTTGGATTAACATCCCAATGCCGAGGTAAAGGCGCAGCCCTGCAATTGCTGGTTCACGCCACTGCTGGCGGAAGGGCCTCCGCTAGACGGAGCTCTTCTACGCTGGTCTACGCGTCTTGGAAGAGTTGGAATTACCCACAGTTTACCCCACCACTACCCGACCTCGCCAGTGGGTTGTGCACATTTTGTACTGCTGGGTGGACAGAGGCGGGAGCGATTTACGAAACTTGCACCGTTGGTTTCAACTGCCGCACCGGGAGATTGAGCGACACCCGCCGCCTCGAGGACCGCGGGTCCCGCGTGCTGACGGTTACGCCGCGGCAGCCATCATCCCTCGTCGCACGTGCCACAACCCCCCGCCCGCTTTGTGCACGTGCGTGCGTGCGCGTAACCGCGCTTTTTCCCGCTCGCGCGCGCGTGCAGGACGCTGTACCTGCAGTGCAGCGGCCGTGCCGACTTCGCGGGGTGGCACGCGGCCGTGCGGAGGGGGGCGGCGGGCCGCGGGGGGGCGCTCGCCACGCAGCAGCTCACGGACGCCGACGTCCCCGTCACGGTCGACACCTGCATCGCCTTCATCACGCAGCACGGTGAGCGCCCGGGGGAGGCCCCCCAGCTGGGCAGGGGGAGGGCGCCGACTCGCTTTTCCACCACGGAGGCCGCCCGAGTGCCGACGTGGTAAACATCGCCACAAAGGCGGCCGGGCGCGGTGCCACCCACCCACCCCCTCCGTGTGCCGTGCCGTCACTTCGTAGGCGCTGCTCGCTTACAGCGCTTGCCCCAAAGACTCTGTCGCGGCTGCTCAGGCGGCGGATTTTTGTCTCCGCGCGTGCCCGTCGAGCGCCCTTAAAACCTGACCGCGCGCGACTGCGCGCCTCCGCTCGCGCTCTAGGCCTGGCGTGGGAGGGCGTGTACCGCAAGGCGGGCGTGGGCTCTCGCGTGTCGGCGCTGCTGGCGGCGTTCCGCGAGGACGCGCGGAGCGTCCAGCCGCGCGCCGGCGAGACGCAGCTGGACGACGTCGCGACGGTGCTGAGGCGCTTCCTGCGCGAGAGCGACGACGCCGTGGTGCCGTGCGCGGCGCGCTCGCGATGGGTGGACGCCGCCGGTACCCGCCTTGCCGTGATGCTCCACAAGCAGCTTCGTCTCTTTACAAGTCGGGCTACTAACCCTGCACTAACCCTACCCCCTAACCCTGCACTAACCCTACCCCCTAACCCTGCACTAACCCTACCCCCTAACCCTGCACAATCACTACCCCCTAACCCTGCACTAACCCTACCCCCTAACCCTGCACTAACAATACCCCCTAACCCTGCACTAACCCTACCCCCTAACCCTGCACTAACACTACCCCCTAATCCTGCACTAACCCTACCCCCTAACCCTGCACTAACACTACCCCCTAATCCTGCACTAACCCTACCCCCTAACCCTGCACTAACAATACCCCCTAATCCTGCACTAACACTACCCCCTAAACCTGCACTAACACTACCCCCTAATCCTGCACTAACACTGCCTCCGAACACTGCACTAACACTACTCCCTAACCCTGAACTAACACTACCCCATAACCCTGCACTAACACTACCCCCTAACCCTGCACTAACACCGCCCCCTAACACTTTCCCTATCCCCTAACACTGGACTCGCCCCACCGCTACCCCCTAACACCACGCTAATCCTCATGTTAACTACTAACGTCACATTGACCCTTCCCTCGAACACGATGCTCACATTAGTGTCGGGTCGCGCTGAGCAGAGATGCATCACCAAGCATGTCAAGCAAAAAAAAATGTGTTTGTCGGAAATGAGGACATTTAACTGTAAATTTAATTGGACATTTAATTCGGTCAGCGATGCGTTCTCGTCGACCTTTTTTGGGCCGTAAGTTTTTGCTGGGAAAGTTCTCCTGCCCTGGGAAGCGTTTCTGCAAAGGCCCACATCACCCGCGTGACAACCCGACCACCGATTATAACGGGGGCAACGCCACTGTTTAACCACATGGAGTTGTCCTTCATCTTACCTCAACTTGGGGAATAGATCAGGACACCTTCGGTGCACTTGAGTCGCCTTTGTATTCAATTTCCACCCCCCTCCCCTGTAATTGAAAGCAAAAGCTGGGGGATGCTTCTGATATTTTGCTAGGTGTGTGTGTGTGTGCCTTTGTAAACACGTTGTGTAAACGTTGTTTCAACGTTATAAACGTAATTGAGAACACAGTAATGATTAACGGCACAAACCGTTTCAACATAGCTTTAAGAGTTCTTCTGCTCGTGCGTTTGGCAATACGTTCAGCAGTCGAATGCCAATGTCGAGGTCTGATAGCCACGAGAGGGCTTCAGGAGAGAGTTCGTGGAGTTTTGCTATTCCTGCGTTGAAGGAGCACAGATGACAGTGGTTTACTACGATACGGTCCGTAGTTTGGTTTGCATGGCCACAGTCACGCTCTTGTGGCTTGTCATTAATTTTCCACAATTGAAGGCGTTCGTGTGCACATCGTAATTGGCATGTTCTGTTCACGTGACAAACCTTGCTAATTGGCCGTGTCGGGTGGTGGCAGTTTTTAACGACACATTTATATTTACGCAATCTAACCCAAGGACCTCAACTACGCACATTGTAATTATTTGCGCTGGCTCGGGACGACCCTGACAATGTCTTTTCGCTCCCCCAGGGCATACAGACCTTCAGACCAGAGTCGCCAAGTACGGCTCGCTGCTGCAGGACTTGCCGAGCGTCAACCGTGCCACCCTCACTGCCCTCGTGGAACATCTGCACAGGTGGGTGGGGCCGCCGCCAGTGCGTTTCACCATCGTCGTCGTCGTCGTCATTTTCACCGGTTATGCCGGGGGGCAAATTTTGGCGGGGCGCAAGGGTGTGCCACCAAAATTTTCCAAACCACCATCCACCACCGCAAACCATTAACCGCCGGCTACCCCCAGCACCATTGCGCAATGTCACAGGGGCGATTGCGCAGTTGCAGTCATCGTGATTGCCAGAACCACGTGGTCACATGCCCCCGTTGATTTTGGTGTCAACGTCAGCATTGCCATTGCCATAATCAGACAGCCCTGGTGACGCCGGGACACAAAGGTTGGTGGACAAAACACAACTGAGTGAAAATCTAAGACTTGTGATGCTGCAACTTGGCCAGGAGACGGCAGGACACAATGTGGGTTCATGAACCCATCTGTGCGAACCTTTGTCCACTTGTGTGCATGGGTTTCCTCCTTTTAAACTGGTTACCTCCGACAAGCGGAACACTCCTCAAAAATAATGAATAAATACAAAATTATCGCATTTGTCATTAAGAATGAATTATTACAGAAAATTTATCGGCTGATGTTTCCGGCAATGGTCCGTAATTTGAGAAGTGAAAATATGAAATGAATTTTGCCATGATGCCCACTTCTGACCACCACGTCGCCACCTGCTGTAACAACCAGCTGTGCACAGTGGTCACCCGTTGACGCGCGATCCAGACTCAACTCTGCTTAGCGGCCGGGATCTAACGAAATCCGGGCGGGTGCATTCCGGCTGATTTAATCATTGGCATTTAGACGGGGATATTTCAAATGCTCGTAATTGGTAACAATCTGGATTTTAACGCAGCATCTAAAATTAAGTCTCCTACTGTACCACGGCGCTTTCAATACCGATGTGCGTGTGTGTGACGTTGACGCCACGTGGCCTCACAGCGTGCAGCTCTACTCCGTGATAAACCACATGACGGCGCAGAACCTGGCCATCGTGTTCGCTCCGTCCATCTTCCACTCGGAAGGTGACAGTTCGAGCGAGGCGGCGCTGCTCGAGGAGCTCATCACGAACTACGCGGCCGTCTTCGAGGTGCCCGCTCACTCGCCCGCTCGCTCGCTCGCCCACCCTTTCACTCGCTCATCCACCCGCGTGCTCACCAACCCTCTCCCTCACTCACCCCCTCACTAGGATTTTTCGATGGGTCCTCCGTTTTTTCCCTCATTCTAAAAACATCCGTTTAGAGTATTTGACTGCTATGAATTTCCACGTATCATTTGTGGCGAGGTCGCTTCTGAAAAGTGCAATATAGCTCAGTGGGCCTTACCTGGTAAAATAAAAAATAGGTTAAAGTTTAGTTTTTAGTTTCACGCTTGATCACACTCCTGAACGTGTTGTTCTCCGCTGTCATCTTCGACTGAACAGGTGTCGCAGGAACAGCTGATGCAGAGGAAGAAGGAGACAGACTACATTGTCCACAAATTCAGCGGCACGGCCTTCAAGCAGGTGCGAACCCACCCCTGTGCACCCAAGCGGGCCCCAGCAGTGGTGAAAGCGGCCACAGGAATCCGCTGCTTCCATCGTACGGTGGGGTAGTTGACCAGAAATATTTAGAAGACTGTCTTAAAAGGAAATACATATGATAGGCGATGTTTCTTAATAGCTCATGAAGAAGCGCCATTGCTAGGTATTTCGCCTATAATATATTTTTCTCGTTTCAAGGCCACAATGTCACGGACGAAAGTGTGAAGCTTTTATGTATTTTTTGCTTGTGCACCACTGCCAATGCAGTGGCACCGGACAAGTGCTTTTGCAATGCTTAGATGTTCACGTCGAGGTTTGTGAGGAAGTGGACAGCTTCGCGAGTAGCCTGGTGAACATCTGAAACACTGCCGGTAGAACAATCGAAGTGGGCCAGTGGCGTTTCCTGCCTGTACGCACGCGGTCCACGGTTTGAGGACGCTGACCGCATTTGCCCCCGCGGGTTGTTATCGATGTCCGTCGGTGTAAGAGGTTGCCGCGTCTGCCGTGCGGTGTTCTGACGCTGTCCGAGGCATACCGCGGCTGTCTGCGGGGTAAACTGAAACTGGGAGGTTCACACCCCACGGCAGTGATGGTGCGTCACTGTCCCCACCACCCTCCCCCGACACCGCCGTAAAACGTGATCGTCGACCCTCGACCCTGAAACGCTATCCCAGGAATTTGGTTGTGGCCACGATAACGTTTTGCCCAGATTGTTCGTGTGATCTCACGTGTAGGTTTGGCATGTTTTTTTGTTGTTGCTCGGGGCTAATGTTTTGTCGCCGCATCGATGGCACAGAGGTTTCACGCACTGCGCTATGTACCCGGTGGCCCGAGTCTGATTTCAGAGTGGTAACTAACGTCAGCGGTGAACTGTATCTCAACCGGTTCCAGGGTACTCCCCTTCACCAGCTCACACTGGCCTTGCATAGCGAAGTATCGTCAAAAATGTTCACGTCTGACACGGCTTGAGGTTTCACGCACTGCGCTATGTACCCGGTGGCTCGAGTCTGATTTCAGAGTGGTAACTAACGTCAGCGGTGAACTGTATCTCAACCGGTTCCTGGGTACTCCCCTTCACCAGCTCACACTGGCCTTGCATAGCGAAGTATCGTCAAAAATGTTCACGTCTGACACGGCTTGAGAAGGCCTTCGTACAGAAGTAGACTGGCAAGGGGCTGTAAATTATTATTAACTATGTGAAATGTTCTGCTAAGGTCATTATCAACAGAAACCCGAGACGCGGGAGCGCTAGCTTTCGACAGTACTGTTCCTCAGGGAGATGGAGGTTTGATTAATTTCTCTTTTCTATGTTCGTGTTGCAGCAGGCTCCGGCAGGTGACATGATCATTGAGGTTTACTTCCAGAAGAAGGACACTGACTGCAACCTCGGTTTGAAGGTGAGATACCAAGCAGCTGGGGGGGAGCGATAAACAGCGCGAGATCCGCATCCGTGTTTTCAACCGAGGTCAAATGAAATGGGAAAATAAGATCCGGGAGTTACGTCGTGGATTAAAAAGCGACAACGGTTAAAATATTTTTAAGAAGCTACTCAGTACAAAAAGGTTGATGGATACGCATGTTGGTGGCCGACGATATGAATACCGGTGACGAAACTTGGATGTTGTAAAAAAAAATGCTTTTATTTTTTTCAAAATTTTATCTGAATTTTAATTGTGGGGGCTCCTGTCATGAGATGAGAAGTCTACTTGGATCACGTGGAGCACTGCATCCCCGTGGTTTAGTGGATCGCGTGCTGCAGCACATTACTTAGAACAACTGAAATGTCTTCCAAGTAATTCAAGATATCCCGCTGTTAGCGATGTGTTCCTAAATTGTTGATTCATCCAATTAACTGAGAATCAAGGCTAGATGCTGAATTTTGGACGATATGAAATATTTTTTGTTTCGAATTGATTCACAAGTACGAGGTCCCAGGAAGTGGTATTGCTCTCATCGCATCATTGCTTTGCTTTCCCCTCAAAAAGTGACATCACGTGACATTGGGTGATGCCACTATTGTTAGCACGATGGCAATTTTAATTACTGTACTTTGCAAGTGATCAAAAAAATAAGAAAAAGACGCCAAAAATGGTTCTTAAAAATCGCAAAAGTTTTTTTTTTTTTATATCCGAAACTCATCCCTACGCACTACATCTGCCAGCCAGCTCTACGAGAGGGGCCATGCCGAACACTGAACCCAGTGCCGCCTTTGTGCAGGTGTCGGCGTTCATGACGGCGGAGGAGCTGACGTGCGAGGTCCTGGAACGCCGGGGCATCTCCCCCGAGCAGGGGCCCTGGGATGTGTTCGAGGTGGTCAGCAACGGAGAGCTGGGTACCGCTCGCACGCACGCACGCACGCACGCACCGTCGGGTGACCATCGCATCACCGCCACACAGCATTCCACAAATACTCATATAGTGGTGGATCCCATCGAGCAAAGAATGTCGCCGCATCGCGCGCTTCCAGACGTGCTTCTGCGCCCGTCTGGAACGCTCCTCCTTCCGATATTAGGAAGCCACTGGAGTCATGCACTTATACATCTAGATTGAAAACTAATTTTTATTAGAACTGCTTTTTCGTCTTTAGTTTGTTGTCCTTCCCTCGCACCTCCAATTAGCATGGTTGGCTGCGTACGGTGCGAAAGAAGTTCAACATATGTACGTACATAATCCCCTCATCGAGACTCAAAAAATAGTTAGTGATATTTGCCAGAGAAAATACATGAAACAGGTTGTTGGTTTGGTGTTTTTTTTTTATGTCAGGCCCGATCTAAAAATCTTGTGTTTGCGTGCGTGCGGTGGGTCCTCGTGTGTGGTCACCACTCGGCAGAGCGTCCTCTGCACTACCGGGAAAAGGTTCTGGACTTGGTGCTGCAGTGGTGCAACAGCCCGGACTTCCAGACCAACTACCTGCTCGTCAGGCCGCATCCCGCGCGCGTGCACATGCAGCGGCACCTGGGTGAGAACGCCACACCGCATGACACCAGCACACGGCGTCACCGCATGGCCACGCCACATGGACACACCACACGATTGACACCACACGACCATACCGCGTGGTCTTACCGTGGGCGGTGGCTGAACCCCGGATTCAAACCCAGGATCTCAGGAGTGTTGGCTCAGTGCCTCTGACACCGTCTGGAACGCTTTCCATTCCGATAATAGGAAGCCACTGGAGCTATGCGTTTTAAAATCTAGATTGAAAACTTACTTCTTGAGAACTGCCTTTTTGTGTTTAGTTCATTGTCCTTTGATTAGCACGGTTGACTACGTGCAGTCCGAAGGAAGTTCAACATACATACTTAAGACAAATTGGAACCACGAAATGTATGCCACCTCAGGTCGTACCTGAGAAGTGAAATGTTTGGTATGGAGCTCATGGTCTAAAAGGCACCCATGATGAGAAAACCAATCACTCACAGATATTCACCATTTCAACACACATATGTACTTATGACACAGTATGAGCCCGCTGAGTCTATAAACATGATTTTAAGTATGGATTGCCACTCAGTTCCAAATAATTCTCCCTACCTCCGTTGACTTATGTCTGTGTTGATTCTCGGTTGGGGTGGCGGTGGCGGCGGTGACGATGGCGCCAACAGCGAACCGCAAGGTGGACACGTGGCACGGGCTCCTGCGGTTCCGCGAGGAGGGCGGCTGGATGAGTGACTTCCGGGTGTCTCGTTTCCACGAGAAGTACTTCATGTTCATGGGGCACAAGCTGGTCATGTACAAGGACACGCGGGTACGCAGGCGCGCTCAAGCTCTCTACGGCGCGTAGCCGCCCATGCGCTGCGCATGCCGTGCCCGCACACTCGGTCCCCCCAGGGGCACGTGGGAAAAGTCGGCCTGGTGCGTCTGTGTGTTCGCAAATGAACGCTGCGTTGTTTTGAGACTGACCGCATTACCCGTGTTCACTGCAGACCAATAAAGGGGAGAAGGAATGGAACATCAGCTCCTTGAAGATTTACCTGGGAATGAAGAAACGGCTGAAGCCTCCGACCGAGTGAGTTACAAACAGCATCATCATTATCACCCGTGGCCTGTCCACCGCTGGCTGAAAGCCTCACCGAGCTGTCACCGTCGCTCATGGTCTTGCGATGTAGAAATCTCACCGGTTGCTGCACATGAGCTGATGGTCATCCCTTCACCCCCACCTCCGATTAGCACGGTTGACAACGAACGGTGCGGATGAAGTTCAACAAAAACGTGCAATTAGAAGCGCTCTCGGGGCGTGTTCGCTCCTTTGGATGCCACTCGATCGTTAGTCTCGACCACCGGCCCATCGTCCCTTCTCGCCACGGCTTCACCCCCTCGCGATGTGTGTATGCGACATGACATTAGGTGTGTGTGTGCGTGTTTACATGCTTGTCTGCTGAGGTGTTCGCTACTGTGCATTGCTTTCTTACCCTTCCTCTCTGTGTTTGTTTCAATAGGCATTGCTTCACGATTTTTCAAGGCAAGCAGCAATGGTACGACACACAAAGCGCCCATTACCGCCGACGCACGTCACACTTTATGGGGTTTTGCGTAAGATGCGATACGGATGAAGCATTACAAAATGGTCCCGTTTGGACAAAGTTATTTCACCACAGTCTATAACAATGAAAACAGAAGAGCTAAAGTAACATCTTTGAGCAGGGTAAAACAGACGAAAGCACAAACGGGGTTCTCTGTAGCGGGACAATATTTCTCAGGATTAAATAGAGTGCAACAAAAAAGTTATGATGCAGATTTTTTTTTTTTTTTAAACATTGCCCTTCAAATGACAAGCGGATATATTATGTAGCAATGCCAAGGCCGGGTTGTTAACACACACGCACACAAAAACATAGTTCAGATATGGTGGAATTAAACCAAGGGATTATGAATATAGAGGAGAAGAGTCGTAAGATTCGGTGAAGCTCAATATTGAATTAGACTCGCTGGGAGGAGCCCGCGTTGGTAGAGGGTTTCCACCTTTTATCTCTGTACCGAGTAGCATGCAGAGACCTGCAGACAAGTTCTTTATTTCGCGATCTTTAGCGGCCTGAGGTAGGCAGGCTCTGTGGTTCACTCAAGCCCACATGTATTACAGGGGTAGTGGCAATACAATTAAACAATGGTAACAACAAAATAACCATCACAATCCCTGCCTAAAAGGGATGCATCGATGATTACTGATACATAATCTCGCAATGCATGCACTTAATCGTGTGTGTACGAATCCATTTTGGTTCAAACCTTCCTATATAATGTACTTTGATTTAATTTTTACTTTTAAATATCAACCATTGATTCCCAAGGGGAGGTGAGGGGCACATTATTACACGCCTACATGCCATGTAGTAACATCTCGCAACCCCAGTGGGGCAATGCCTGTTGCACCTCTACAATAGTGCATGGACAGCCCGTTTGTCAATCCGCTGCTGGATGAGGGCCTCCCCATGCCATGCAGTCACTGAGGGTTATTTGACCATACCGCACCATGCCTCCTTAGGGCAGGTTGGTGAAGGTGTATTTTGGCTGCACTGCCCGCAACGCCTTCCTGCGCACGCTTGTATAGCCTGGTGGCGGCCCATCCGATCACTGTCAACGCTCAAACCTCCTTAGCCTCCGAGGTGTGATGGGATCAAGGCGCATTGCAGGTGTTTTGGTCTCTGTTTCATTGTTTCTCTGCCACCACCCACAGGTACCTGTGCTGTGATAAGGAGGCGGACATGCGCGAGCTGTACGCGAGCATCCTCCACCTGCAGGTGAGCTGTGCCGAGAGGATCGGGAGTTGTGTAGTTTATCAGTCGCAGGCCCAAAAGGACGAGGTGAAGCTCCTCATGAGATCTAATCTACGATTAGCGCGGTTGGCTACGTACGGTGCGAAAGAGGTTCAACGTACATATGTACGTACGGAATCTCGTTCGTGCAAAACAGGGGTGGGAAGACTTTTCCTTACCATGCTCAAGAAATAGGACTTTCACATACCCTTGGTTACGCTGATGAGCCAAATAATGATGATGATTGTGATAATATTGGAAACTACAGTGATGCGGTAGTGATAATAATAATATACAGCCCTTCGTCAAATCTTTCCATACCATGTCGGTCAAGACAGTTCTTTAACCATACTTCACCAGACTGATCAGTGCGGGTTCATGAAATTGAAGCTCAGCACATGTATCAGATGTATGTATGTTGAACTTATTTCGCACCGTACGTAGCCAACCATGCGAATCGGAGGTGCGGGGGAAGGACAACAAACTAAACACAAAACTTTATTTATCGCCACTAATATTAGTCATGGCCGGGGACTGAACTCGGATCACTGGGTTTGTTGTGCAGCGCACTCACAATAATGACGATGGCGGTATATAAAACTATAATGACGACGATGATGATTATTGTGGTAGTGGTGGTGGTTGTGGCGGTGCCAATGATGTAGGCAGCACAGGTGGTGCATCAGCCAGTCATTGCTGTCAGTCGACCCGTGGCACCTGGGTCTGCCGTGTGACATCTTGCCAGCGGGCGTTTGACATTTCACGTGGCCTCAACGTGCATGTAGCCTGGCGCAAGCGCCGTTGTTGTTGTTACTAATGACAATTTACGACGATCTCACAGCACAACGGGGACGTGTGGCCCGTCGGGCGTTCGACGGAGGAGCAGAAATCGGCAGACGAGCGGCAGCCCACCCTGCGGAGACTCGGGGCCCTCTCGCTCATCCCTCTCTGCGGCTCCGAGGCCGACATTCGCCGCAGCGTGGCACCCTTTTACGAGGACGGCTGAGAGCCTCCCGAAGAGTCGATAGCCGCAAAAAACAAAAAACTCTCCCTTCGCCCAAACAACTCGCTCAGCGGTTCCCTCTCCCACGCTCCGCGGTGCTGGCCAGCCGCCCGGGGTAGGAGGAACGTTCCAAACCTTTTACGATTGACCTGCGCGGCGAGACGAGACGCGGCCCACGAGCAAACTTGTGGTCGGAGAGAGCCGGGTCTTTTCATGTGAAGGCAGCTTGCTTCCCTCTGCTGGAGCCAGCCGTTGGCATCTCATCGGATGCCCGTGTGGGCGGTGCGGCAACCGTGAAGCCGAGCCGAGGACGACAGCGGCAGGCCCCATCGCATGCGGCGTGCCACGTTGCGCGTACCTCTTCGCCGGTCCGCCACGCTCCGCCGCTGCGCGATAGGGCGCAGACGGGTGGACGGACGTTCAAACACTAAAAAGGTCCCGCTCGTCCGTGGAGCAGCTTCCGCTAACCACGAGTGGCAACCACTGCAGTGTTAATAAGGCTTTAGGACGGATAAGCTGTGAAGGTGGAAGAATGCAGGCGGCGTCCTTCGTCCGCCTATTTTTTTTTACTTCCCGAGCAATTTTTATTTAGAGCGGTCGATCTGCCGCCGTACGTCTCTCGGACCCACCGCATCCTGCGTCGTGAACGGTGGCGGGGGTGGAAGGGGGTGCAGCGCATCCGATGAACGGTCGAAGGGAGCTCCACGTCGAAGCTGCGGCCACCGTGCAAATTCTTCGCAAGTGTTCTCTTCCGAGGGAACGTCGCGAGTGGGACAAAACATTCAAGAGCAGTGACCCCAATGTTGTTGTGACGTAACCTGCCCACTGAAGTTGCTGTAAAATCGCTATGGGGGGGAGGGGGGGTGGTGGTGAGAAACAAGTGTGGGGTTTTTGGAGAGGCTGTGTGTATGTGCAATCCTTGTTTGTGTGTGTTTTGTTTTTATAATGGGAAGCCTACCAAGATAAGCAGTTCATGAAGGGAAAGAAATACCCACCCACATTAATGGGTCGAGTAACGACAAGCCCATCCCTTTGCAACAACAATTATTTGAATTCCATCATCCGTGTAAGTAAAAAATATACGCCTAATATCTTTGCCTTTCATTTCCATGATTTCAATCGCGGAGTCAATTTATATGATGCGTAAGAACGGCTTATTAACATTACAGTACAGTGTTATTATTAGCACTTTTCAATATGTTTTAAAGTGTATATAGTTAAAAATATATATTTATAGTTGTTTAATACTCTACTTAAAAAAAGACCCCCAAAAAGTGCCTTAAGATTACTCTTGAAAGTTTTTATTAAACCCTTTTAAAAAGAAGCGGGGGCCTCTACCTGTCGTCCGGACGTGAGGCGCGCCCAAGGTGCTTTTGTGAGCGTCGCCGTCTGCAAGGGAGCTCTACCACCAGCGCGTTCGTGTGCGGAAGTTCAGTTTGGCCACGTGTAAGGAAACTTCACTGGAAACCCAAAAGTAATGCCACCAAAAGGGCCCCAACTTCGAGCCTATACAAGCTTAAAGGATTCATTTCCTTTTTTGTATAACAAGTCTCTATCCCGACCATAACCTCGACTTGTTTGGGTTATAGCAAGGGTTAAGCATTTTCATCACGCAGCAGGATTCCTTAGGAGTAGGGTCCGTGACAGGTTTGGTAACGACACGTGGTCTGATAGAAATCTCCCAAGTGCCATTCTGTTGCGTCCCCACCAGTGTCCAAAATTTACGTTCTAACACAGTGAACAATAAAGTTAACTGTGTTATACTTGCATACGTGTGTATTTTGAAGTTTACATTCGCCATTTACTGTTCAGGTAATTTTTATTATTGTATGTAAAAAAAATACTACTAATTTAAAGCATTCATCAGATTGCTACGATATAACTCTATGTTCAGCTTTCTTCACCATTGTTTAATTCGGGGATTGATGTCTCCCCGTGCGCGTTTCTGTGCCGCATTTTACACGCAAATACTGTACAAGTTGAAACGAAAGCGGTTAGCTACTTCTTCGTAGTTCCTTGCGAGCTGTCGTTGTGCTGTAGTATTTACTGTGTCTTGAACAAAATAAACAGATCCAAGTCGAAATCAAAGAACGGACGATTACGAAATGTTGTGTGTTTTGGCCAGCGTCATTCTAAAAGGTCACGACAAAGCAAAAGGTCATGTTACCTGCTTGGCATTTTACCATTAAGATATTCTTCAATATTGGCCGCCTATGAGGGTGTTGTCCACCTGGCCCTGGGCGGCATTTCATCACCTGCGGGTGGGGCTCACCTTTACTTCTTGGCAACATGCTCATCACAGCATTCTGAGTGAATTAAGTACCTCGTATGATCAGCCAAGATGGCACGTAGGCAGTGTGGGGGCAGCCAAATCGAAACCCGTCCAGTCTTTCCCCGGGCCATGATGAAGCGCACCAAAGAGAGGAGCGCGCCTTTGGTCCTGTGATGCTGCTAAAAGGTCTGTCTAGCTTATCTTGTTGATAATAGCAAGTAGAACAGGAAGGATAAGGACATCATGTGGGTGTTATGGATGTGTGTGTGGAGATAGCCATACATGCAGTCCTCGACTTATGAATAACCGACTTATGAACATCCGCACTTACAAACGAACTTTCCATTAAATATTTATTTTTTTAAAGTTTTAATTGGATTTCAATAAGAGCCTGGTACAGAGCACGAACCGCGACGCAGGGAGGGGGGTACAGAAACTCCGCGGATATAGGTCCCAAACTCTGTGCTCCTGGGTTTAGAGGGAGGAGATTGGGCTCACTGCCCCACCAAAATGGGGACTGCCTTCGGGGTATATCTACTCCTAATGGAGGGGGGGGGGTGGATTTATTTTCTAACCATCCGACATGCGAACTTGCACTTGTGAACCGAACCGCGCAACTATTTTGTACAGATGTGTAGTATCCTCCTTCCTCCCGGCGTGTGTGCGCGTGTGGTATGCGACGCACACACTCAGTCGGAGGAGACGAGGTAGTCGCAAGAGGCACCGTCTCTCTATTCTCTTGTTCACGCCACCAACTCCGGCCTCCTCTCTCACGACCACGCTGCCGTACGACCTGGCCCAGACACGACCCTGTCCGCGTTGCACCGACGGCGTCGACCGAGACAGCCAACTACTGTCCGGCCGCGCAACGATCGGGCGAAGGCGGCGGCGACGACGAGACGGGTCCACTCCCAGAACCGGCAGCCCGGAGCTCTCGCTCTCCGCTGCTTTTATTCTACTCGGCGCGGCTTGGCTCCGCCCTAGCCGCGCCTCCCTTCTCGAACCCATCGGAGGGTTCCAAGGGCCTCCCTATGATGTCTACCGTGACCCTTGCCCCAGTTCCTCCGCCCTGCCGGCAGGCACACCGTGTATATGCTCGACAGCGTGTGCGCTAAGTGTCCACCGCAGTTGCTGCTGCTGGACAGCAGTCGGGGCTGCGTCACTACAAATGTAATGAGTCCCAGCTTCCCGCTGGGAGTGAGTGTGCGTGTGCGCGCGCACGCACTCACGTGCCTGTGTGCGTGAAAGTGAGTGTGTGTGCAAGTGAGTGTGTGATCTGGACACGGTCCCATCGGCGAGCTCCTCCGGCAGGCAAGGCTGCGTTGGCTTGGGAATGTAGCTAAACGTGCCCCTCACAAACCACGGAGCGATATGCGACTTCGGTCTTGATTACCCTCTCCATGCGCCGTCGATTCTGGGAGTCGATTGCTTCCGTCTCTGTTAACGCGGATCGACTTTCATACCGAAATTCCACGTGTAAGGCAGCCCTCCCAGTAAACATGGAATGGCCAACATTGGCCCAAGCGCATTTGCAAAGGGCACAACCGGAGAAAGACATCAACACAAACATATAAAATTAAAACGAATTGTGTCGTCGGTGTGAATGTAAGGTAACAATGGGGATGGTGAATATATGTGAGTGATTGGTTTTCTCATCATGGGTTCCTTTTAGTCCACGCTAACAGGAATAAAAGGGGCCCCCCGAGCGGGGGGATCGGAGCCGTCGTTTGGAGTGGGATCCCCTCGTCGACGCCGCTGTCATCCCGTGCCTTCGTCGCTGTCGTCGTCCACTTGATCACTGCGCTGCTGGCAGTGGTTGGCTGTCTTCGTTCAGCGCCGTCAGTGTCAGACGGCTCGCGCTGTGTTGTAGGCCAGCAACCAGCGTAGAGTTGAGTTTAAGCGAGGGACAGAGCGTTGTGTCACAGCAGGGAGTGTGTAACAGTGTGCTCGGTGTTTCATTAAATAATTGCCTCCAAGAAGTTACGTCTCCAAGTCAGTCACTAAACATTCATGACTATATCTGTAATTCCACACACATACATACACATGAGGCAACAGTCTCGGTTAATGCTCATAGATTTTTTTTTCTGCATAAATTATATACACCTACACCTTGAGGCTTTCCCCGCGAAAAGCTTGCAGAGTTGCTAGTCCAGAGCTATTGTGCACAGGAAGCAGAAGCGCAATGTGTCTGGTGACAATGAAACTTTATTTCACTGCACTAATAACTGGTTTGCTGTTCAATCTTGATTTGAAGCTTTCGTCACTGCAGGAATCCATACTCTTTGGTTCTTTCGGTAAAGTAATTTTATACCTACGTGACTTTACCGAAATAACCAAAGAGTAGGGGTTGCTGTTGCTCCCGGCCAGGAAAAAAAAAACAACTGCAGCTCTCGCGGGGGAAAACCCAAGCTCTATCCACTGCTGGCATATTGGGGTTTGGACTGGCGGTATAGCAGTGCCATCCTCTTCCCAATCTACAGCAGATGCCAGCAGCTTCGCCTCTTCTTCGGGCAGCCAATCTCCCCCGCAGTCTTGAGAACCGAAGCCTGGTCATCCCACAGTGGGAACGCTCGGAAAAAAACTCAAGCCGGTGGGGGGGGGGGGGGGTGCCTGAGAGGGAATCTCTAGGGCGAAGGCGAAGCGATGTTGTACCGTGTATATGCAGTGTGTGTGGGGGAACGACGACGGAAGGTGGGGAGGAGGTTTTGGGACCGCGTCACCACGGCTGCGGTGGTGACCGTGGACAACGGGGGCCGTCATTATGGGGGGAATGTGCAGGGCTTGGGGTAAATCCCACCGTGTGCACCCCCCCCCCCTCCCGACACCTTCAGACCAAACCACGTGACATCGAAGGGCGAGGGCGCCCCAAAGCAGGGGGCACGAGGCGGTCGCCTCGATTCGCCGTGTACGCGAGGGACGGCTTTGTGCAGAGGTTGACAGTTCAAGTTGGGGTCAAATCGGTATTAATTGTAATAGTACGATGCCCCGTCTGCTATATGGTGGATGTTAAGATTCCATAGTATCATTCGGAAGAGTTTGTATGTATGTATGTTGAATTTCTTTCTCACCGTACAAAGGTGCCAACCTGAGTAGGCCACTGTGTGCGGGCGTTACGGTTCCAAATTGCAAATCGTTTTAAGTTGAGGTGATAGCTACCATAGCCCCCCCCCACTGTGAAAACTTGGCACGACTCGCCTGACCAAGAGTCATGCGACTTAGTGAGGATTTCTCGGTAACCAAGAATAATGCTCAATCAAGATAAGTGGTTACTCGAAATTCCCCTATGAGGGATGGATGAAAACATCAACTGTGAACAAAACTAGGGCCGCCTCTACAGATGTGTGTTGGCTCTTGGGTGTGTATATCACGGGCCGCTGCGATGCAACGCCGTACCCATGACTATGTTGGCACTGTCCCAATGATGATAATGGTGAATTCCAAATCTTCAAAGTGCGCTTCAACCGCAATATGATACTACTGCGTGGGTAAAATCAGCCTCCTACGCGAGACGCCTCCTGTGCCGTCAGCTATAAGGAAAGCGACCGTCACGCATGAAGCCTACGCCGCACACCGAACCCTTGTGCTCCACGAGGACCTCCGTATTGTTGGCATCGGGAGACGACACCAGCACCATGTCCTCGAGCGCCACGAGCAGCTCGCCCGAGGCGTTGATGCGCACCGCACCACGCGCTGGTGCCATCAGCCCGCCATCTGGACCCCTGGGGCTCCTCGGGTGAGTCGATGTCCACGTCCATGGGCTACCAGTCCTCCTCGTCCTCCTGAGCGTGTTTCGTCCCGTAAAGCGGGAGTCGCGTTGCCGCCATGAACTTGCGCTCTCCGTCGCTGAACGCCAACCTCAACAGCTCCCTGCCCTCTTGACCCGCACATTGGAACCGAACGTAGATGCTTGAGTCTTCGCGCACCGCCACCGCCAAGACCGTGCCCACTTCGGACAACGTCGTGGCAATCTTCAGGGTGTTCTTCCAATCCACTTTGTAGAGGACCAAGCCATCTTGCTGGCCCACCAACACTCTCGTGTCGCTCAGGGCGGTGATAGCCACTGGCCTCTGCGCATACCATTTCATGATGACATGTCCGCACCACGTGAATACCTTGACCGCGTTGTTGCCAGTGTCGGGCACCAGCACGAAGTTTGAGTACGGCGTGATCGTGGCGCCAAGAGGGGTGTTAAGTCAATTGGGAAAATCACCAAAGCCCCCAATGGTGTGCCTCACCTCGGCATTGAATAAATGTACCTGGTGGTTTTTGTCATCCGTTGCCACTGTGACCCCTCGGTGTGTTACGAAGAGAGAGCTGACCCTGCCACCTTCAGGCATTCTAATTATGGACACATCTACATTGCACACTTTGCCCTCTGTTGCTTCACAGGTAGACTTGCAAGAGAAAGACAAATCATCCTGAAAATATTTGGTTTGAGGTGCCTTCGGTTTTGAGGATTCAATATTTGGTTTGAGGTGCCTTCGGTTTTGAGGATTCAATATTTATGAATTTCTTGTTGTGTAATGTGCAAGATTTTGCTCAACTACAATCTTCCGCTTCCATGTTTTACGTCGCTGCAAGCCATTGCACGAAATGGGAAAGAAAATTAACCTGAAAAGAATCAAACAGAAACATTGTATGAAGTGAAATGAAAGTCCTCAAGAATAATACCGATTTGCTGTTAAAGTAATCAGAGGAATACCATTCACGTCACATACAGACCATGAGGAGAATGCGTTTGTTTTAAACAACATTTTACTCTCGTAACTAAAGCAACTGTGTGCATGTGAATACTGAATGTGCTTCTTGTTCAAGTAATT